TGGTGGAACATAAGAGAGGCTTTCTTAAGGCGGCCCGGCAGGCTAGGCTCCTTGCGCCGGGGTTCGACCTTTCCGGGATGCACTTAGAGAAGGTTGTCCGCTTCGGGCGGTTAGTCCGAGAGGACGACGTCGAGGAGAGTTCTAGTGACAATGCCTCTGTATAGGATAATTTTTGTATTTCCTGTTTCTGACTGTCTTATGGATTATACTTCTCAGTTATGCAAGTTTTGTTTAGGTGTTGCTATTTCCACCCTGATTTTTGTTATGACGAAGTTCAGACTGGCTTTTTGCCCTGTGTTTTTGGTGGTGAGGTTTATTTGCAACCGTTAATAATGAGGTTTCTTTTTGTCTTGTGACGGGGTAAGATGGGGTTCGTTTGCGACCTCTATTTGAGTGAAGTGAGGTTCGTGTTCGACCTCCATTTGGGTGACGTGAGGTTCGTGCTCGACCTTTATTTGAGTAAAGTGAGGTTCGTTTTCGACCTTTATTTGAGTGAAATGAGGTTCGTTCTCGACCTCTATTTGAATGAAGTGAGGTTCGTGTTCGACCTCCATTTGGAATATTAATCTGGAGCTTCTTTATGATATCCAGAAATCTTAAGAACTGCATTTCTTTTTCTTTCTTGGAAGGAGCATGAGGGTAAGGTAAGTTCTTTAAGCTATCTCTGAAAATCAGGGAAATAATTCTTCCTATAAATGTTGTATCTAAATAATTAAAGAAGAGGAAATAAAATTGATATTATTAACATTAAATCCTATTATGGATTGTACAAATCAGAATTGCATGATTCTAATTGATATGTGTTGAGCTCCAACAGATTCTGATTGATTGTGTTGATCTCCAACACTAAGTATTATAGGTAAGGACTAAGGAGTGAAGTTATACTCCAATACCCCCCGCAAGATCAAGTAGGGTGAGGCGCATTGAGTGAATCAACTTTGGAATGCATGGCATAAAATCAAGTTGTAGAGAGGGATTCAGCGAGAATATCAGCATTACGCCATCTGTAGAACTGCGAGAAATGAGATTTCAAGTCATGTTGAGAAATATTATCTTGTGGCTGTAATGTAGGAGAGATGGAGATGGGTTAGAATTTACCTCAGTTGTGTTGCCTCTACTCTCCAGGTTTTTGGTTTGTTTTGCCTCTGAAGGTCTGCCATGAATGATCCAGCATGTGTCCTTAGTGTGAACTAGTTTCTTGCAATGACCACACCAGTGCCGATTTTTCTTTTGAGATGTACGAGGTTGGTTTCCCCTTGCTGCCATTGTTGAGCCTTCAATGGATGGGGTTGCACTTGACTTTCCAAGCATCACTTTCCTCCTGCTTTCCTCTCTTCTCACTTCGAAAAATACTTCTCAGATTGTTTTAAGAGGGTTTGGTTCCAAGGCCCCGGACTTCATCAAGTTCTGTGTTCAGCCCCTATAGAAACTTGTAGATCCTATCTTTCTCCACCAATTCTTTATACTTCTTATCCTCGGTACAACTCCATTGAACATCTTCATATATGTCCAGTTGCTGCCAATGTCGACTGAGTGTATTAAAATACTCGTTGACTGAGAAATCACCTTGTCGCAAGTCATGGAGTATGCTCTTGATCTCAAATACTGCAAATGTGTTGTCCACATTTAAGTAGGTTTCCTTCACTGCATCCCACATCTCCTTAGCAGTATCATATTACATGAAATTTTCCCCAATTTCATTAGTCATGGTGTTGAGCAACCATGACATGACTAAACTGTTTTCCAATTGGCATTTGTTTAGATTGGGGTCACCCTTTTCTGGACTCTTGGAGTCTCCTGTGATGTAACCTTCCTTCCCTTTTTCCTTGAAGAAAGATCATAACTGATTGCACCCATTGAGGGTAGTTCTGGCCACAATTTGTGACCAATGATAGGAAAAGCAGGCCCTTCGACCACATTGGTGGCCAAACCTTCTGCCTTGTTCTAAAGGAACAACTAATGTAGGTTTGTGGTATCCAAAAGGAGTCTCACTAAGTCTGATAGGCTACTCAGATTCAGACTATGCTGGGTGTAGACTTGATAGAAAAAGCAAAAAGCAAGCTTGTGTTGCTTTAAGTATAGCTGAGGCTGAATATATAGCTGTTGGGAGTTGTTGTGCTCAAATTCTCTGGATGAAACAACAACTAAGAGATTATGGAACTGAGCTGAATAAAATTCCTTTGAGATGTCACAATAAAAGTGCAACAAATATGACCAAAAATCCAATTTTGCACTCTAGGACAAAACATATAGAGATAAGACACCACTTTTTGAGAGATAATGTTCAGAAAAATGATTGTGTTGTAGAGTTTGTTGAAACAAGTAAGCAATTAGCTGACATATTTACAAAACCTCTACCAAGAGAAAGATTTAATCAATTAAGAATTGAACTAGGAATAATCAATGAGTCTTGTTTGAATTGATTGTGAATGTGTATTTGGGATTGATTGTTTGATTGAAAATTGATTGATGCATAAAGCATTAATGTATGATGCATAAGAGACAAAGCTTAAGAGTTGAAATGGTTTAGAATTGGTTTAAAAAGTTAGAAATAAGAGAAGCAAGAACTTCTCTGGAATAATCGATTATTATAAAATTTAATCGATTATTGTAAGTGAGCCTATAAGAATAATCGATTATTTGGGAAATAATCGATTATCTGGGAGAAGAAGAATTCCTGAAGTCTCTGGAATAATCGATTATTTGGGCAATAATCGATTATCTGGGAAGCAAGAATACAAAGAGTCTTTGGAATAATCGATTATTTGGGAAATTAATCGATTATCTGGGCAAGCTAAAGGAAATAACCCTCTGGAATAATCGATTATTCAAAAAATAATCGATTATTTAGTGTAGAAAGAGTTTTTCAAAGGATTTTACTGATACAAATAATCGATTATTTGTATGGATAATTGATTATTTTCGCGACCCTTGGTTCTCCAGCAAAAGTTGAGTGCGAAACATACAAAAAAGACACTCAACAAAAACATGCAGAGTTGTATGATTGTCCAACAAATACGTAATTGCTCTATTCCCTAACCTTTCCTTTTCTCTATTTTATGATTTTGTATGATTTTTATGTTTTATGTTTCTGATGTCCATTGCATGTCTTAACAAATTGGAAACTCAAAAGGTTAGATTGAGGAAGAAACATGTATTGAGGAAGAATCATATAGTCACAAACTCCTTAATCGTAATCACGATTAATTGACGTAAGAATTCCACATTAATTGAAGAATGCTTAGATCATAACTCAACAATAGGTATTTATCCTATCATTATTAATCAAACATGGGATAGATGTTAGGACTTTTGGTGTATTATTCTAGGATATAGACGTGTAATTCATTTTGAAAATCTCTCATAGTTGTGAGTGATGTGGCCTGACCAAAGATTTTTCCACCATTTGGAACTATTTTCAGGACATTATTTGATCTTGTGAGTGGAATTGCTTATGAAAATTGGTGTAAGTTCCTGTCTGTTTAGTATTTTTAGTCAGAGTGCAGATTTTTGCATATCTGGTTTTGTTCAACTTTCATGGCTAGCTTTTTATTCGTATCTGTGATTAACTTCTGGTCCCGTGGGCATTTATAGCGGGTGTTGGTTATTTGCATGCAAGAATTAAGAGATCACGTTGCTTTGTCTTTACTAGTTCATAGTTTTTTACATCCTTCGTGATGGTAGTTTTACAGTTTAGAATCAGCTACAACCTCTCTTAATGCTAGCATAGACGAGTATAGATCACCAACAAGTTGTTGGTCCGAATAGTACTAGATCGGTCCCTTTAAGAAAGGTTTGGAGTTCCGAGTTTTGTGTATGAAAAAAATGATTAGGAAAATTGGAAGAAAGATTCTACTAAAAGTAGTCAGCCAGTATACTGACGGAAATTAGTTCCTGGTGAAACCGATGAATATTTTGTACTAATAACATAATTATTTAAAAAAAAAAAAAAAAAACAGATCAAGCAGTGAAGCAGTAGGTGATGACCGCTCAATCTCACATGACCACTATATGTATTCACAATGCTGACAAAATAAAACTATATGTATTCACAAGATGCAGGAGAAGGTGCAATTTTCTGGCAGGCAATTTTTCTCATTGAAGTTTTGAATGAAGATAGAAATAAAAAAAGGTTATTATGCTAAATTTATTTTATTGTGTAGATTTCTTTCCATATTGTCTTCGAATCCATGTGTATTATTTCAAGGTTTAGATATAGATGTTTATGTTATTAATTTATATGTATATATATTTATATAGCATGAACATAAAAGTAATTACTAAGACAAAAACTAACATTTTAGAGATTAAAAACAAAAAGTGCAATATTTTACAGGGATATAAAACCAAAACTGTTATATTATATTTGCATGGACATGACACATGTTAATGGCAAGTTGACGGTTACAACTTTTTTTTTTTTTTTTTAGTATAATCAGGAGGTATATCTCTCTCAACTCAGCTGTACTAACTACTAACAGCTTTCGAACCTTGCAAGGATAGAATAAAAAATAAATTACAAAGACTTAAAAAAAAGCTGCTATAATTGCATGTACCTTAAATATACTTAAGCCTTGTTTGAAATTTATTTAGTTAGTTACTTAGTTCGTGTGTGGGTGAATCAAGCATTTTGTTAGACAAGTGCTCTAGCTTTATCTTCAATGTCTGCTTGCATAGACATTTGTAAAAGAGATTGTTGAGTTATAACATCAGCATAGCCACTTATGGAGAAATTAATTTTACCTGCTGAGTGTTTGCAAATGACTTGAAGACTGCAGTCTAACCTGGATCGGTGACGGCTGTAGAAAATTTATGTTGTGGAAAAAAACATTCACATACATAATAAGTTTGTGGGGACTACTTATAATATGACTTAAACTTTTTATATTGTATTTTAAATCACCGGGATAATTTCTAATTACACATGTACATTATATTGGGAAAATTTTAAAAGAATATCTATGTACTTCTTTCCTCATTGCTAATGATAAAGCCATATGCATTGGCATCTGCCATGTTCGTGGTGTAAATAAGTAAAACAATTTACAAGGTTGTTATTGGGATAGATGGTTGTATGTAAAGTATTGAGGTTAGCATTCTGTGTTGAAGCTGAACTACATTACCTGTATTTCCTTGGTCTTGGGCTAATCCAGCATGCCCTTCCATATATTTTGATGGTACTACTTAGTTAAAGTTATCGGTATTGTATAGAATACCTAACAACAGGAGCTTCTGGTGTGTTCACTGATACAAGTTTTAAGTGCCATCATAGTGATCTGCATTGCCCCTGCATCAGCTTTAGATCCTGAATAGAAAATATAAGTACAAACTTTTCATTGATGAATTTCACGTTTCTTTGAACAATCTTGAGATCTTACATAGACTATAAATATGACTAATATAGTTTTCATAAGGCTTCGATAGCCCTCACCTTATAAGTTAGTTTTGTGAAATTAGTTAAATCTGAAGTCTAATTTCTTAAGAAATAATATTGTGGCGTGGGATTGAAGACATTCAAACAATATTATGATGAGTTGCTTCTGGAAGTGAACATTGAGAAACTAATTCATTGCTGGCTTGACATAGTTGCTTTTTGTTCCTGAAGATTAAATATTCATTTCAGTAGCATTCTTTTGTTGCTTCATGCCGTTTCCATGATTGACCTTTCTACTTTCAATATTGTTCTTACCACTACATGATGTTGCTGACTTGTATGTCTTGAGTTATCCTCCCACTTTGCCCAGCACCATAAATCATAAATTTCATTAATGAACACCGCCTTTCCTTTCTGAGACAGTGATGCTCGTAATGTGATCCATTGTCTGCATCATGCTATGTTATTGATAAATTGATATGCGTTGCCACTCATGGCGTTTTCAAGATCACAATTTGAATGTGAACAATTCTTAGCACAAAACTTGTCACTTTACAAAAAAACCTCAATTGTAGGTTCTTTGAAACACATACAAACCTGGATCTATAATCTATTCACTAATATATGGTATACAATATAACTAGGATATTCTGCATCACCTCTATGTGAGATGCCCCAGGAAATCAAACAGCACGAAAACTAAAAACATGCCATTTAGATTTAGATCATATCTTATGTAAACTTTTCTAGTAAAAAAAGAAGAATTTTGCATCTGCCAGTCTGCCTTATCTGATCATTGATCACCCGTCAAACACTTGTGATCTGAGGATGATGTCTTGAATGGTGAATCTGTTGAAGCTGTAAACTTTTCAATGCAGCACCACCTGACCTTCTTTTCCAAAGACTATCCACCTGTTTTTCTTCCTCTGGCTTCTGCACTCTCTTGATCACAGGTAGAGGAGGATCCATATTTTCAATGCTTATGGGAACAACATTCTCATTCCTACTACACTTGTGCTTATGGTTCCTTGGCACATTAGCACTATTCACTGACCCTCTTGGCCTACTTCTACAGCTGGAGGCAGTAGGAGCAGTAGCATTGGTGGTGCTGGTGCTTATGTTTTTGCCAGAGAAGAGTTTTTTGAGCTTGGAATACTTGAGACTAGGGGAAATGGAGATGTTGGAGGTGTTGCTTTTGGTTGTGAGAAGTCCAACTATTTTGTTGTGCCTCTTCACTTGACCCATGCAACCAATTCTTGGGGACAAAGGGTCATTGGAGAAGGATCCTGGGGGGTCTCTCCACTGTGGAAGACTCACATCCTTGATGGATGGCCTTGAACATAGCATAGGCAGGAATGTGGTTCTGTGATGGATATGCAGGTTCTGATGGTAAAAGTAATGATGGGGATGGTGATGATTTTCACTGCTCATGTTTCTTAGCTGATAGGGGTAGAGCAAGGATCCAAGTGAGAGAGGGAATTTTGTTAAGATGTGAATGTGTTTTGGGTGGTTTAACTTGTGACTTTGAGCTTGCCAAATATACAAGAAGATTAGAAGAATACCATGTGTAATTTTGTGACCCTTTTACTTGGTCCTCTAGATCAAAGAAGTAACAATTAACAAGATGACAAAATGGAATAGAAGAAATCATTGCAGAGAAGAAGCTTCATCGAAGATTGGTAAACACAAGAAACGAAGACAACCAGTACTAGTGTGGACCATTGTTTTGATTTTATCTGGAGTTTAACGCGGATCAGAATTTGTTTCTGTGATTAAGCTCTTTAATACAAATTTAGGAGAGGAAAGGACTAATGAATTTGACTTGCATCCTTCTTTGTGTCTGTGGAGAGATCAAAATCCTAACCAATTGATCATGCTAAAGTATACACGCTAATGGTGGTTAAATCATAGGCTGAACAACCCCTGTCCCCCACAGGGTCCACTTAATTACTTAATGGTACACATATCACATTATTTTAAAGAGTAAGAAATACTTTTGAAGTGACTTTTTCTAGGACAAATTAATTTTTAATCGTTAATTTTAAGATATTATATAAATTATGTATATAAAAAAAAATTATTATTAAAGTTGGATAATACTATTAAAGATCACAAAATTCTTTGTTTTAATCAATTATTAATCTTCATTCCGTGACTCTCTACTCTTCCGAACATCCAAAAAATTAGAATTAGTCGTGTTACTGGTGCATTTTTTATGGTTCATAACTGGTGTTTTTTTTTATTTATTCGAAAAGCTTGACCGTGTAATTAACCTAGCTAACTGTGTAATAAACTAAACTCAAGACTAATAATTATCATTATCTGTGTTTGCAATGAGATCTATGAAAATAGTTTTTGTGAGTTAAAGAGTGAGCAAATAATCTCAATAGTGGCGAACATATTATGAGGTAAAGCCACGTTCACCAATATTTTAGGGCAGGTCTTTGCACATTGTATCAAGTGAAGTTTCCAAAACTATAATTAATGATGGTTACTGTGTTTGTCTTTATGTCCAACTCTTCTCTATTTAGCATATTTTTAATCAAGGAAAAATGATTCCCTCGTATATTAATTATGTTAAACACACAATAGTTCATTTAAAGCTTCTACAAGTCATCATACCCAAATAGATGAAAGTGGTTTAAATGTTTATTAAATATTAAATCAAAATTTTATGCTAATACCATGAAAACATGTGTAACAAATTTACTGTAGATATTTAGTTAAAGTCGCATCCTAGCATATTTGTAAATATATAAAATATAAAATATATAATTAATAAGAAAAATGTTAAAGAATTAAAAAAACATTTTTTTTATAAGAAAGTAATAGAATTGGTATTTATCAGAAAATATAACATTTTATCAATATATCTTCGCCTTAATAAAATATTTTTTTTATTAATCCTTTAAATCTTTAACTACTATCCATTAACTTAACCCAATTAACAATGCATAATTAAAATTAATATGGATTATTTTACTTTTTTTAGTTTTTATATATAATTTTTGAAAATCATAAATCTCAAGAATTATAATTTATAAGAATGATTGAAATTTGTTTATTTCATCATAAATATTTTTGTGAATATTTTTTACCAGAAAATTTTTGTGAATATTTATATATGTTTTTAAGAATTAAATATCTTTATATTTAAATTTTAATATGATTTTTCATAAGTTTTAATTATTTATCATAATAAATGAGTTAATGTAGATAACTTAGTATTTTTAAGTAAATTTTTTTTAATTTAAAAAAGTTAGATTTTTATCTCTCTTAAAAATAAATTTGTAGAAAAATTGAATGAAAAAAGAATTCAAAAAACAATGGTTTAAATATGTTATTTTCTAAATATCTTCCTCTCTCACAATAAATATCGTTATAAACTATATTATATAAAATCAATAAAAATTAATAAATGGGTGAAAGAAAGTAATGATTTTACAAAAACCAACTTTATAATTATATTTTTTTTTTGCTAAAATCATGCAACACCGCGACAATTTTCTAAAAAAATATTATTAAGAGTATAAAAAAAATAGGTGAGTAATATTACATTAAAAAGTTAAAATCATACTTATTTAGAATTTTCTTTCTTACACGACACTTAGTATGTGATGAAGGAAGTCAATATTTTTATTTTTTAATAGTAAATTTTTTTTTCTTTTTTATTCTTGATTATCAGCTTTTTAGTGCAATATTTTCTATTCTATAATAAGTGTCATTTTAAACTATTTTACACAAATTAAAAAAATTATTAAATAAATAAAAGAGAGAGTTATAATTACACAAATTTAGTCTCAATATTAATTTTCTATACCAGCAATGATGCAAGATGGGAACAATTTTTCTAAAATAAATATTACCGCAGTATAAATAAAAAAGAAATAATTAATGAAAAAAATAGGTAATGTACTTATAATATAAAATAATTTTACATAATTATTAAATCATAGACTAATATTTATGATAATTTGTTTTTTTATAATTAATAAATAAATAAATCACATCAACAGAGATATCTGAGTAATTGATATTACATGACTATTAAACTCATAATTAATTATACATCGAAAAGTTAAAATTCTTTTTACAAGAGACAGAGTTTGCAATATTGACAAAGGTGCTATGTAGTACCACAAACACCCGTCTTTATTATACTAGTTAAGAAATAAAAATAATAAAAAAGTAAAAGTTGTTTTTTTACTAAAATGTGTTATTAATGATCTCTTATCATAATAAAATAATTTTCTTATACTGTGAAAAAGAGTCTTATTAATTCCTTGAACTAATCTCCTTGACGTGTTCCTAAGTTAATGAGAGAAAATGGATGAGATAGAAACATTTTCTCTATGTCACGCCTGCAGGCACGATTGTAACCTGATCTCACTAAAATTATTGGACAAGTTGAGTTGATGCGCACTCAAATTTGTCTACAAGGAATTATTATTCACTAGCTGGAATTTCACTGATAACATGTCTTAAAGAAACTCTTTCCAGAGACAACTCAATCTTTGGATTCAAAAGCAACTTTATTTACCTTTTCTTTATCTCTGCATATTTGGGTTGGTTTTCATAAAATTCAATCCAATCAAATAGAAAATTGACCTAAAAAACTCCAAATCGAAAAAGAAAAAATTCGATTTGGTTCACGGTATGAAAATGTGGAATCAACTTAAACCAAACTGAATTATTAATTAGTTATATTATATGTAAGTGTGTGTTTTGTGTTGAATGTAGAGTAACAAGTAATTAAATTAATATGTATTGGTAAGTACTCGTTTGGATCATAATTTTTTATATTTAAGACTTTTCTTTAAATTCTTTTTTTTTATAATGCATTTCAAGTAATATTAATTTTTTTTACATATATCTTTATTTGATAATTAATATTTGTATTCTATAATCATAATTGTTCTTATTCTAACATCTATTTTAAGATATCAAATTAAAATATTTTGGACTTAATATATTGCTATTAAATATTTCTTAATTAAGATGTGTGTAAAAATATTAAACATAAAAAATTGTGATCCATCATGTAAAAATCAACAGTTAAATTAAAAGTTATTAATGTAAAAATTAAATTTACAAATTATATAATATCTTATTATATAAATTTAAATTAATATATAAAATATTTTTATGAATATTTATTAATTTACATTAATAAAACGAAATATTATATAATTTTTAAATTTTATAAAATATATATATTTAACTTATTTATTAAAAAAATTTAATTTAACAATCAAACCATTAAAATTTAGTATAGACTATAAGTTATTAAATATATTAACTTCAACGAAACTTACTCTTTGACCAGAGTAACTATGCTAAGACACGATTAAACTTTAATAAAAAAATGTGGTTTTATCCATATTTGAGTTGTAGTTGCACAGTGAAAGTATGATAATCTGACTAAGGTTTTTTGTGAGAAGGGCCCATCATGTTTAAGCATATTGAATTTGAAGCTATTCTAAGGCAGAGTCAGTGTTTTAGTTCTGTTGTCTAGAGTGCAGGGTCGTGTAGTGGGTAACCAAAGAAAGATTATGTCGGCAAAGCCTTCTCAACTTCTCTTGTGAATCAGAATCTTAACCTATGAATTTCTGTCACTCAAAAAGAAAATAAATAAAATTTATGTAGTTCCATTATATAAGCTAGCTATATTTCAAACATGACTAACCATAACAGGTTTATTATTATAAAGTTGAGTCCCCCCTAAAACATTCGAATATCAAATCTTTTTTTATTTTATATATTTTATTAAGGGATGGTATTTAAAAGTTAGATTCAATGTATTTAATAGTATTTTAAAATTTCTGTGTCAAAATAATTTAATTAAACTTGTGTTATAAGATGTTTCACATGCATGACTGTTACACGAATAAGCACAGTTCTGCAGTGCTTCGGATATAGACAACAATAGTTTTCAATAATTTTTCACGTGTATGTAAAGAACAAAACAATTATTTATTAATAAGTATATGTTTATATATGTTTGACATAATTTTATATTAAACAAAATAATTTGACTAGATTTATCAATTACTTTGTTACACAACCCTATGAAGTCTGAACAAAGCCATATGGGTCTGATGTATTTTTAATTTTCAGCATGAGATACACCATCTTAGAAAATAGAAGAAATGTTTTACCAGAAAAAGAAAAAAAGATTTAGTAAAATCTAAATGGAGAACCAATCACATGCAAATCACGTATGAAATATAAAGAAAATAGATAGATTAGGAAATAGAGAATTAGGAAGGATACGATGATGTATGCGGCCGACACGCCATCTTTGTCTTCACGTGGGAGGCACGTGATCGGACAATTTTGGTAATTGGTATCTTGTGGTTGGTTTATATGAAGTGTGTATTTATATACATATATATATATATTTTCAGATACATTTTAGACTGTGTGACCTCACCTCTCCTTGACTTAAGAGGGGGGCAAAAACATGGAATTACTGCTTGAGTTTGAATTTTCGTCACCTACAATCGATTCTTCAAATTTCACCAAAATTTCCGAATTTTCCATTTATTTTTCATGGAACCACTTCCTACAATCTTCGAAAAAAAAGATAAGTTAGCTGTTTTTTATTTTTTATTTTTCAAATATGCTTGTTATTTATAATGACCAAAATATCGACCTGAACAAACTATCCAACACATGATAAAAGTTGACAAATATTTTTGTGTTCTTATTATATTACAATAATCAGCCTTCAACCAACTAAGGCTAGGACTCCAATCAACAC